CAAATTGTTAAGAATTTTTATTATCAGGTTGGATTAAAATTTAGGACATTATTTAAATAGAAGAAGAATTAAATTATTAATTAATAAGACTATCAGGTAATTTTCAGAATCTTCGATTGATTGATGCATATTTATGTGCATTTTAATTATTTTACAAATTATCTTCATTAAGAAACTAGATAATTATAACAACCTATAGTTATACTTTTCCATCTGTAAATATGAATTTTTCAAACAATCCTTACCTAAAAACTTAAACATATAGAGGACTAGGATATTAAATAATGGCATAATATTAATATAAAACTTTATTTCTATTTCAATAAAATTATACAAAGGCTTTTAGCAAAAAGAATTCAATTTCAATTTAGATGTAATGCAATTAAGTATGATGCAATTTAAATTGTCTTATGGAAGTATTTTGTAATCCGAAAAAAACTTTTTAACAATATAAATTTTAGGTTTCTAACTATTAAATTGTCTTGATGAAAGTAAACCATAAGTTAGTTGTTATCCAACTTGTAATGAATGTGATGGTCCAAGAAGAAATGATTGTTTATCTTGTTTTGAATAATCACACAGAAGATCTTTAGAAGATTTTAAGGAATGTATTTGTGAATATGGAACCATAGATTAAAATGATTAATGTATTATTTATTAAACTTTATTATTTACATTAATTTAAGAGGAACCTAAATAAGAAAAATGCAAATATGGTTTTTTTGAATATGAAGATGACTGTATTTAATGGTATTATTTATTATATATAATTAAGCCCTTCAATAATTAATAATAATTTAATAACATGTTTGGAATGCTTATAAAATCCAAAATAATGAGCTTAAACTTTTTTATGCGATACAAATTTATTTACAAATCAAAATGGAAATATAGCAGAATATAATAATGTTGAATAAATATTAGAATGAAAAACTTTCTGCGAAATCTCTCAAGTAATAAATAATGAATGCTATGTTTGTGGAGATGGATGCGATGAATGTTAAATTTTATTAACAAATTTAAATTGCATTAAAATATATCCTAGTTCATTTAGATCTAATTTCCAAAAAGAAAAAACATGTGACCCTCTAAATTTTAAAGATTTTTCAAGTAAATGTTTTGAGTATAAGATACCATATTGTTTATATTGTTTCAATTATTTAGCTAGTGATCCTACAAAACTACCCTTGGTTTTTAACAAAATTTTACATAGGTTGATGAAGAGATTAAGGTAGGATGTACTTAATCTATAGAGGGATTTATTTATAAATTTTAAACAGGAGAATGTATTAATTAGAGACTTTCCTAAGAAAATTGTCTTCGATCCTTTTTTAACTATAAAATTAAGAAATTTGCACATTATCAGAAATACATGATTTTAATATTGCTTTTGAAATCATAAACTGTTAAAATCACATTCTAAATTGTTTATAATGTATTGAAACCCCATAATAACTTTTAGATGTTTAATTTGTGAAGACGGTTTTTATGCTTAAAGTGTTTAAGGAGTCTGTTTAAAATGTGAACATCCAAATTCAAAAAAATGTTGTGAATCTAGTAATTTAGGATATTGGTAACGGTTAGTTCAAGGTTTTATAATGAAATTCTTGCCAAATCGACCTATTTTTACTAACTCTTTATTATCAAATAAATATTTTATATTTGAAGATTTAATGGTTTGATTTTATTGATGTACTGAATAAAAATAGTCTGCTTCTTAAGTGATAATTTAGTTAAAAAATTTTTATTTTTAAGATAATGTTATTAATTGTAATTAAGAATAGTGACTTATCATTTTTAATTGCCATAGCTTAATAATGCAAACAAAATATTTTTCTAAGAAATACAACAAATTTTTGATTTATAACATTATTTGCTATTCCTTTTACAAGAATTGAAAATCTTGATTATGAAAATTAAATTTAGGAATAAAAAGTAAGAATATCATCTAGTTGTTTCTAAAATTGTCTTCCTCATTCTTAATTGTTAGTAGTCTAAGGTTTTACTGAAATAATATTAAATAAAATTAAACTTTTAAATTAGCTTAGTATAGATTAATCAATTATCTCAGTTTAACCAAATCCATTGATAATGTTAACTAAATAAAAATATATTAATTTATAAGATATATTAGTGAATGGAAATATTATTATAAAACAAAATATCGGAAGTACTATATCCTTGATAGAAATAATGTCTACGAAATCTTAAATTATAGAAATAAAAAATCTAACTTTTATGAGAATGTTTTTCATTAATATTATGAGGATCCATCTGAAACTTTTGCAAGTCTTTTGTATGTAGATTCAAGATCAAGTTTTATTATTTTAAAAAAGATCATTTGCACTAATAATTCTATATAAAATTCTTCCTTAGCTTGTATATTTATTTTGTCAACTGAAATATAGATAGAGCATTTTTTAGTTAATAATCATAATTAAATAAATCAAGAATTTTGGATTAAATATTACGAAGTTGAAATATAGATAATTTATTGAACACTGAGATTAAAAAATATTTCCATAAAGCAATTTAAATTAAGCCATACTAAAATGAACTACTTCTAAGTTTATGCTCAATTTTTATTAATTAAAGCCTTAATAAAATATATATAAGTTGTTATAACTATTTGATTTCTATTGGAAGATATTTTATGAAATAATTAAAAAGGACATAAATTAGGTTAAGCCAATTGAGGATGCTGATAATTATTTGACAATCTAAACAGTTAAAAATATATTTCATTTGTGATTTATATATTTCCCCCCTAATTTTTTCCTATTCTGATAATAAAAATTCTTAGTAATTAATATTTTGGGATATAAATTCATATAAATCTTATTTTTCCATTATAAAATCTGGTATAATAATTATTGCACTAATTTAAAAATCACAATAATCAATTAAATTATATTTTATAATACACAAGAAATAATTAGGGTTTCTAAAAAAACCACCAATAATATAATTAATTTATCCTGGGTAATATGATAATAGATTCTAACTTATAGTTTAATTGTAGTAAATATTTGAAAATCCCCTCCAAAGATTTAATTCAAATTTTCTTCTTTAAATTCAAATTCTAATAAAATTTCTTTTAAAAAAATTAGTTAATTTCTTTAATAACAGACAAAGAAACTAAAGTTTTTTGAAGGTATACCTAAAAAACCAGACGTATTTCTAAGATGATTGATTGATTTATATCTCTTCTGTTTAATTTACAAAATCAACAACTAAAAATAAAAAATATTTTTTAATTGTTTAAGCCTCAACATTTATGCATTCGTAATATAAAAATGCAAAATATTAGTAGTACTATTTTCTATCCTAAACAAATAAAAAACAACTCTATCTAGTATTCTAATTTCTCCAATGTAATTTATAAGACTTAATGGAGCATATCTACTCCAAACTCCTAAACCTGCAGAAGTAGCAACAATAATATCTTTATTTTCTATTGGCTTTACTTCAAGTGGATAAGTAGATGGCAATCTGTAAATGCAGTATTATATTGATAAATCAAAGGCAAAAAGCATTATTAAAATAAAAGAAATATATATCTAATTAACTTCAATTATTTCAATTAATCATATTTTTCATCAAAAATTATCCTTGACATTTTTTATTTTTTTTTAAATTATTATTATTCTCATAACAACTGTAAAATTGCAATAAAAATATTTTTCATTTACTCAAATTTTGTTTATAACTTAAATATATTTATTTAGACATTGCTGTTTAATTCAAAATATTTTTTATCCAATTAAAAAAAATTAAATTTTTAATAGTGGTTAAAGAGTTGCTGATACATCTTGAAATTAATTTACCTATAAATTTTTTAATTAGAATAACA